TTAGAAGAGAAAGTGGGAGATACCCTTGAACAAATTGGTACAGGAGACTACTTCATGAACATAATACCAGCAAACAGACATTGAGAAAGATAATTAATAAATTTCTCTCCTGAAACTGAGAAGCTCTGTAAGGCAAAGGACACAGTTATTAAGACAAAACCACAGCCCATGGAATGGGAAAAATATCTTCACCAAACTCTGATGGGGAATGTACTGTATATGTTTATCTTATTGATTGTTAAATAAAATACTGTTTGGCCAATGAAACGGCAAGTTAGGCAGGACTAGGAGTCAAAGAGGATTCTGGGAAATGTAGTAGAGAAGTGCTGATCCAGGCAGGAAGTGACATGGCAAGGAGACTCATATTTAAGCGAAGGAGAAACAGGAGGGGCCTTTTTTCCCCCTCCACTCCTCCTCCAGCGGCAGGATGTAATCCACCGGCAAGGAGGGACCCCAATAAGGCGTCCGATAAGATAAGTCTTATAAAATATATAGATTTATGATAATTGAGACTGAACTAACAGATGAGAATCCTAGTCATTGGCCAAGCAGCTTTGAACCTAATACAAGTTTCTGTGTATTCATTTGGGCCTAACTCGGGCAGGCAGCTGGCATAAAGCTCACACGTGGCAGTGGGGCTCAGGCGACATTTGGCAGAAAGATTTATTGTAACAAACCCACATCTGAGAGGGCTGATTTCCAAAATATACAGTGAACTCAAGATGCTAGCCACCAAAACATCAAACAATGAAATTAATAAGTAGGGTACAGAACTAAATAGATTATTTCTCAACAGAGGAATCTAAAGTCGCTGAAAGAGACTTAAGAAAGAGCTCAACATCTTAGCCATCAGGGAAATGCAACTCAAAACAACTCTGAGATACCATCTTACACCGGCCAGAATGGCTAAAATCAAAACCACCAATGACAGTCTATGCTGGAGAGTATATGGAGAAAAAGGAACACTGCTCCATTGCTGGTGGGAGTGCAAACTTGTAAGACCACTTTGGAAATCAGTATGGTGGTTTCTCAAGAAAATGGGAATCAGTCTACCCAAGCTCCAGCAATTTCTCTCTTGGGCATATACCCAAATAATGCACATTCATACAACAAGGACCTATGTTCATTTATGTTCATAACAGCATTGTTTATAATGGCCAGAACCTGCAAGCAACCTAGGTGCCCCTCATCGGAAGAATGGATAAAGAAAATGTGATAGATTTATACAATGGAGTACCACTCAGCAGAAAAAGAGCAATGGAACCTTGAAAATCGCAGGCAAATGAATGGAACTAGAAGAAACCATCCTGAGTGAGGTAACCCAGTCACAAAAAGAAAAACATAATATGTACTTACTCATATATGAATTTTAGACAGATCAAAGGATTACCAGGCTACAATCCACACTGACAGAGAAGCTAGGACACAAGGAGGACTGTAAGAGAAGAATGCTTGCCCCACCCCTACGCCCTACCCCTCACCCCCAGAAAAGGGGAAGGGGATAGAATCTCCTGAGCTAATTGGGAGCATGAGGGTAGGGGAGAGAAAGCTGGGAGATTGAGAGAGAGAGTAGAGGAGGGGAGTGGAGGAAATGGGGGAGCAGGCAGGTTGAGTTGTGGGAAGAATAGAGGAGAGCATGATGAGAGATACCATAGCATAGGGAGCTATTATAGTTTCAAGGAGAGATTTGGCACTAGGGAGATTTCCGGAGATCAACAAGGACACCAATTGACAATGTAAGCAACAGTGGAAAGGCTACCCTAAATTCCCTTCTGCTATAATGAGACTGATAACTATCTCATATGCTATCCTAGAGCCTTCATCCAGTGGCTGATGGAAGCAGAGGCAGACATCCACTGCTAAACACTGAACCCCACAACTGTAATCTAGTTGCTGAGAGGGAGGAGTAAAGAGCAAAGGGGACAAGACCAGGCTGGTGAAACCCACAGAAACAGCCGACCTGAACAAGGGGGAGCCCATGGACCCCAGACTAATGTCTGGGAGGCCAGCACAGGACTGACCCTGACCCCTGAACATGGATGTCAATGAGGAGGCCTATGAACTCTGCGGGGCCTCTGGCTGTAGATCAGTATTTATCCTGTTGTGAGAAAGGACTTTAGGAGCCCATTCTACATGGAGGGATGCTCTCTCAGCCTGGACACAAGGGGACAGATGGGGCGGGGCTAGCCACTGCCCAGGATGGGAAGACAGACT